TCAATTTAGAAATTTGGAGAAGAAATTTCATAAGGATGCAAAATTAGCAAACGATTATCGAGCGTTCATGAGTGAGTACTTGGCCTTAAAACATATGAAGCCGGCGAACAGTAATGAGACACCGGAATACTATTTACCGCACCACGGTGTAGAAAAGGCCGATTCATTAACAACCCAATATAGGGTTGTCTATAACGCCTCACACAAAACATCATCGGGGTATAGTCTAAATGACTTGATGCATACTGGCCCGAATTTACAAGTTGACCTTCAGATGCTCCTTCTTAAATGGAGGCAATATCAATACGTTTTTACAGCCGATATTGAAAAAATGTTTAGGATGATTTTAATAAATGAGGATGACCAGAAATATCAGAAAATTTTTTGGAGACAAAGACCTGAAGAGCCTATACAAACATTTTTCTTAACAACAGTCACTTACGGGACACGAGCGGCACCTTTTCTAGCCATGATGACCTTGAGAAGGCTAGCAGCTGACGAACGAGCAAGTTTTCCAGAAGCGGCAAAAATTGTCGAATCAGCATTTTTTATGGACGATCTTTTATATGGAACATCGTTCATAGAAGAAGGAATGAAACTTATATCTGATTTAAAATTACTGATGAAGTCAGGAGGTTTCAATTTGCGAAAATGGTCGTCAAACGAACCACAGCTTTTAGAAAACATAAAACAACCAGGAACCATAACAGAGACAGAACAGAGAGAGGTGTATAATTTTAAAACCGAAAACATTTCAAAACCATTAGGATTATGCTGGGATTCGAAGGACGATACATTTTTATTTCAACATAAAATACCAAAGGAAACATTACCCTTAACAAAAAGAAGATTGCTGTCTGAAGTTTCGAGACTCTTTGACCCTCTAGGATTTTTGGCGCCACTTTCGACAAAACTGAAACTGCTTTTTCAAAAACTGTGGCAAGAAGATTTGAAATGGGACGATAAGGTTTCACCTGAAATAGAGAAGGAATGGGCTATGATAAAGACAGAAATCAAGATCATTAATCAATACAAGATCCCAAGGTGGATCCTGTGTCACAAAGATGACGTCATACAGTTGCATGGCTTCTGTGACGCCTCACTGGAAGCGTATGCTTGCGTCATTTATGCGAGGATTGAGGGGAAGCAGGCGACGCTAGTAGCTGCAAAAACCAAATTAGCTCCATTGAAAAAACCGATAACAGTTCCTAGACTAGAACTTTGTGGGGCTAATTTACTATCAAAACTAATGAAAAAAGTAACAGAAGCTTTTAGTCAACATGAACTGGATATTTATGGCTGGACGGACTCGACGGCGGTGCTCGGCTGGCTGCAAGGTGATCCGACCCGATGGAAACCCTTTGTTGCAAACAGGGTGCAAAAAACAACTGACGTCATGCCAAGCGCGTGTTGGCGTTATGTAAAATCAAACGAAAACCCCGCAGACGCGGCGAGCAGAGGGTTATATGCATTACAACTTAAGGAACATAAACTGTGGTGGCAGGGGCCATCCTGGCTCTCAACATTCAACAAAGAACAGTTACAAACAGAAACATATACAACAAATCATGATTTAAGATCAAAACACGTACATGTCACCCAGAATCAAGAAGATCATACGATTAATAATTTGTTACAAAACTATAGTTCATTCAACAAAATAATACGAATTGTCGCTTGGTTATTGAGGACACTTGCACCGAAGCCGCGCGTGCAAAGGCCGAGCTATATCACGTTACATGAACTTGCTGCCGCAAAAATGCTGATCGTGAAGTATGTGCAACACAATGAATTTAAAACGGATATTGAACATTTACGTAAATCGGGCACAGTAACAACAAAAAGTAAATTATTAAATTTGAATCCATTTATTGACGAAGTCGGATTGTTGAGAGTTGGTGGTCGCTTAAAAAGATTGCAATTAAATATGGAAACAAAACATCCCAAAATCATTCCTCGAAACAGTCGCCTAGCAGAGCTGCTAATCCATGAAGCCCATAAACTTACCTTTCATGGAGGTCCTAAATTGGTGTCTGCTAATCTCAGACAACAATACTGGATCGTTGGAGGACTTGCGACACATCACACAGTTGAGAAACTGTGTGATGTGTCGCAAGAACAAGCCAGAACTATCCCATCAATTGATGGGAGTAGTGTAGTTGTACCACTTCTAGACCACCTGAGTCAGACGTGGTTCAACGACGTTCGTCGACGCCCGATCCTAAAAAAAAAAAAAAAAAAAAGGTTTTGGCATGCTCTGATCACGAATCCGCGGTCCATTTTTGTGTAGAATGCACGGTTCCAGAGATGTGTAGATCAATTAGCTAATATCTAATTGATATCCGGTAAGGGCCTCCACCGTCATTAGCGTCCCATTGTTGTTCCTATTTCTATTGTTCTATTGTTCATTAATCACCTTCATTGCAGCGTGTGCGTCGACTATACCAGTGCTATTGTGTTATAGTTCTTTGTTCCTAATTATACAACGCTAATCTGAATCATCAATAAAACACATTACATAATTTTGTTACAATTTTTATTTATAAAATACAAAATCTTATTAATTATTATCTATAAAATAGGAGCGAAACATCTCATCCACTAAAATATCGTTGTACAATGTGTTCCTTGTAAATATACTCGTAAAACTATGTATTGAACATCCTTGAAACTTATATAGTAAATACATTAAGCAATATTCGCCACAAACTGAAGTCCACTCATTCTGAATCCTATCAACATTCCAGTTCCATCTTTTACAATTCCTTTTTAAAAACTCTAGATGATATCGTACAGGTGATCGTCCATATGAATCAAAATATTGACCGACGTCATTCGTATCGATATATAAAGCTACCCAATGTGACCCTGGTTTATCATCTGTATCCAAATTACATATTATATACGTTGGTACGTGGGTATACATAGGCAGTCTATTAGCTGCATAAACATTATTTTCTAGACTGGGGTGAATCTTTTTCAGATGTTGTTGTACATCTAGTGTATCCATGATATTACTGCTATTAGTAGATTATTACAGTACCTAGCTACTCAATGAATAACATAGGAATGGTCAATTATAGTGATTTCTACATATTAAATTGCATTTTTGTGATATACAAATCGTACTTGAGTCATTGATCACCAAACAAAACACAATACGAAGAAATGTTGAGATAGGCAACGGAAATGTGAGATAAACTGATATGTTTCTAAATATTAAATTGCATTTTTGTGTTATACAAATCGTACTTGAGTCATTGATCACCAAACAAAACACAATACGAAGAAATGTTGAGATAGGCAACGGAAATGTGAGATAAACTGGTTGACGCATAAAGTAATTATCAACTCATTACGGAAATACTTTAGATTAGAATTTTTACGTACTGGTGGTATATAAGACCAACAAATGCAGTCATCGAGTTAGTGTACGGTCGTTTGGCTACAGTGGATCTATCAATAGTACATTTGTGTTACTTCAATACACCAAAGGCTATGGATGTAAGTGTTTATTCTATTGACTAAATTACTTTTTTTCTGTTATTTTCATGTGTGTGTATTATTTTATTTAAATATTGTGTATGTATATGATTAAGCCGTGGTAACTCAGATGGTTAGCGCTAGCTGTAAATTTCACAGTACGCGACCCGGGTTCGATCCCCGCCAGCACCAATTAAATTGTTAATAGCAATTTTAAGTGCTTATTACCACGTGCTTGGTGGTGAAGGAAAACATCGTGAGGAAACCTGCATGTCTGAGAAAATTTCGAAGGCATGTGAAGTTCGCCAACACACATTGAGGGAGCGCGGCGGACATTTCCTTGCTCTAAAACCCTCTCAGAAATGAGAGGAGGCCTATGTTCAGCAGTGGACTTTAATAGGCTGTAACTTTAACTTTTTTAACTTTTATGATTAAGTGTTAACAAATTGATATTAACATGATAACTGTGTTGTTGCAGAAATCATTGAGCTTCGATGAAGATACCTATAAACAGTATTACTACTCGCCACTCTCCCCTCAAGAAGAGAGTGATAACCTCGTCATTAATAATAACACATGCGATGGTGGAAAAAGAAAATCGCAATCGATTGATCATTTTTTTGAAGCTGAATCAAAAATAAAAAAGAGGAAGCTGTTATCATCAACCGTAGCACGAGCCGCTAGAGATGGCGTATCATACATTTCTACTAATTCTGACGACGGAGACCAAGCGACGCATCTCATCAAAATTGAAATGTACGATATGAAGAAGCTATCCAAGATTCCAACTACTGATCATTGGAAACATGCTTCCACGAGAATTAAATATTACGTAAAGACTAATAAGGATAGCATCTACGACAATACAAACGCCCTCGTATACAATATAACAAAGACAATAGCAGAAAGTGAAAAAGTTAAAAAATACTTTTTTAACAATGACAGTCATTAGCTGATCATTAGTGAATGTGATTCTGTTTACTTCAATTACAGGAAGACAAGAGCGGAAGGAAGAGATGAGTGTGGCATACGTGTACAAAACACATCATTGAATAACAAAACTACAACACTGAGTGGAGAAGAAAACGAGAAGAGTATGCAGTACTCAAGAGCTGAATATCCATTCTTCAGTTCAAAATCTAGCCGTTTGCTTAGTTTCGAAAACTGGCCTCTAGTTATGCGACAGAAACCTGAAGATCTTGCCGAAGCTGGTTTCTTTTATACTGGCCATGCAGACGGGACCAAGTGTTTCCATTGTGGTGGTGGTTTAAAAGATTGGGAAGATGATGATGATCCTTGGCAGCAGCATGTTCAGTGGTTTAGTCAGTGTGCTTATGTAAAATTTCAACTCGAACAGTGTTTTTTATTAGATTAAATAGAAGATTTATAAAGAAATAAAAAAAATATATTGCATACAATTTGTTTTATTTAATTTTATAACGTTTCACATAGTTACATACACACAAAATGCATTACACATAACACATAAAATCTAACACACAACACATATTATAACCTTAACTACTATAGTCTACAGTAACATTTCTGTTTTTATCTATCTCAATAATATTATCAAACTCAGCATAAACTATACAGTTAATTGTTTGTATTAATGAGGATTCAAATCGTACTTCTATTCTTACACTACCATGCTTTATGAGATTCCAATGAGTTGATGAGTTAGCTGATAAATCAGGAGTTAAGTCAAATGCTAATAGACAGTAACCTTTGCCATACTGTTCACAAGAGATTCCATTTCCTTCATTAAGAAAGTGAATACCAGTTCCCGAGAATAGAGTATGATATGCTGATGTAAATATGCTATTATTAAAAGATGGTTGCAAAGCTTTTGAAGGTATTTGTTGACCATCAATATATAAGCTGAAAGAATTAATACCATAGTTTTCAAAGTTAAATGGATTTTTAGTAAGGGAACCATTAAATGCAGAATTGTTCACAAATCCAATTATACATCTTTTCGGTACCTGTCCTAAAAATATATTATCAAGAGTTTTTCCTTGAACACCTGAAGGAATTGTTAAAACTTTTACTTCAGCTCGAGTAATAGGATATTTAGCAGTGGTAGAAGCTAAAACTTTTTGATGTGCGAGTAATACACTTGGATTAATTCGTGCTCGTCGCACAATAAGAGTTGCGTCCGTAATGCAAACTTTAAACTTTACATCGTTCGACCCAACAATTAAATTAAAACTCTCTCTTGATCGAACCAATTTAACACTCATTTCAACACCATTAATTAAAAATTTATCTTGGTTAAAAATGTCACCGTGAAGATGACCAATCATTTCTATTTCCTTACTTTCACTAATCAATTCCTGTCTTTTAACAAATCCTATGTTTTTACCATCTGTAGAATCCATTTTTCCTGCTGTATCCTCATACCAAAGACTACAAGTAAGATGAGATTGTTTAGCAGCAGGGGCATAGTTTAAAAGGGTTTCCATGTATGCTCGATATGCATAGGTATTATTAGGTGGTGATACAAATTTTTGGTTTAAATAAACATCAAGTTGACTAAAAAGTGAATGCAGCCAATTATTTACAGGTGCTACTATTGTAGTAGATACCAAGTTAGTTGAATCTTGATTTAATACTTTTGCCTTTATGTGGAGTAATGTATGAGACAAATCTATGTAGTCATCGCCGGTCCCAGGAACTTGAAACTCGATAGGTCCATCATCACCAAGAGATGAAATTGGTTTATAATGAATCCACAATCCATTTTCAATGCTAGTTTGTGTAGACGGTAGTGCAAACAAATCCAATTCTGACTTAACGCACTCGCAAGAATGATTATGAAGGAAAGACATATTTAGTTTGAAAATATATCTTTGATATTTTTTGGTTTTAGACTAAGTTTTTTCGCAGCTTTCACTTTAGCAGTTAATGGTGGAATGAACGATGTCAATCGTTTTCTTTTAGTTTTATACCCAGATCCAGTCATGTTAAATTGATCAATTTTCTCATCAGCCTTTCGTTTTAAATTCGTACTAACTTGCTTTAGACCATCTTTTATTGAGGCTTCCATAGGACGGGCTTGAACCATATCCGATAAAAGTCCTACTCCAGCGCTTAATGCCTCCTTACCAATCACTCGAGCACCACTTGAAAGTAAAGGTAAAACTGATCTGAATAACCCCCCTAAGAAGCTCCCAATACCATGACCGCGTTGATATGGTGAACCCTTATAAATTACTCCAACTCCTGATCCAGCTTGATGTGTATAATAATTTTCATATGGACATTTATGATGATCACGAAGAGAATTCATTATTATAATTTTCGGAAATGTAGTTTAATACACACGGTTCCAAACTGGAATGGTATTTTTTGTCCTGTACTCGATCTTATAACTATTTCCAACGTATCGAACTCTCTTCGCATAACAGGTAAGTAGTGAGGTTGAGAGAAAACGTGCATTTTATTTGCACCATAAATGTATTTTGTAGGATCTAATGAAATGACTCTTAATAAAGGAGTCATAACATCACCCACAATCTGAGGATCGATAATATCGCAATATAGAAATAGTTGAGATGGTAACCCTAAGTGTAAATTAGCAGGACACTTTCCAAAATTTCTCTCTAGGAGATTTTTATTTGGTTCATAACCTAGCTGTAAACTTAATTTGGGTGATAATGTTACGGATGTTATATTTTTATCCAATACCGAAATAGACACAAATTTTGTTATTTCATCATAGCGAAATTTCAAGTTCTCTCCGATACCATTTAACACTCTTAAAATATGCTCAACGTTATCATAGTTGGTAGCTGGAATATGTTTTTTGTAGTACACTGTGGATGGCTTATCTTCATTAGGCATTAACATAGATTTTGTAATGTATATAACATTTTCATGGTCTTGAACAGTAAACATGGTACATGGATATTGAAAGTCGACAACTCCAACCGACCATTCACCTTCTAATTTTATAGCTTTTGGTAATTTCGTTGAAAAATTTGTGGTCTTGTTATCAGGAAAGTATTCCATTGAACTATTGCTGAGCAAAGTTAAATAGAAACTTTCTTTATTCATATTTCTTTTAAACTAGAAGCTAAAATCCAACTGTTAAATTTATCTGGATAACCTTTCCACTTCACTAATACTTCTTTTCTGTTACCTGAATAACGAGTGTCAATTATTTTATCTATTTTATGTTGTGAGGTGGGGTTGTAAGTGATTTTCTGTAATTCTCTTTCATAAAAAGTACCAATTATTGGTTCATTTTGTAAATCTGTTATTGTATAAACAACCCATGGAGATCTATCAATTATTGAAGATATAATAAATATTTCATCACTCCAATTTGATTCATATCCTTTTTGGAATACATGTTTATATTTAGTTATTCGAACATAATCACCCACATTGAAATTTGGTTTAGGATTTTCTAAAGAAAGATTTTTGACCGTCTATCATAAAGATTAGTCCAAACTGTCATAATATTGTTGGAATTTACATCACATGGGCACATCTTAATACTAGAGTGAAAGCTGTGATTATAAGAGTATATTAAATCTTGTAAAACATCTATATATCTATAAGTATTATTATGAGTGAAATAACGCCACATTTTCATTTTTAGTGTTCTTTGAAATCGTTCAACAATACTGGCCTTAATGTCAGGATTGTTAGTGGTATAGTAATTAATCTTTTTGGATTTAAAGTATTTTTGTACATCTTTTGAAACAAATTCGGTACCTTTATCGGATTGTATGTGAGTAGGTGTTAAATTACTTTCAGTAAATATACTTTCAAAACATTCTTTAGTTGTTTCTGAGTTTTTCTTTTTCATTGGTCTTGCAAAAGCATATTTACTAAATACATCAATAATACAAAGTATATACTTGAAACCATCATTATATTGAGAATAAGTTCGCATATCACTTAAATCAGCTTGCCACAGTTCATTAATATTTGATAGAATGTACCTATTACGCGGGAATTTTTTTCGAATGGGTTTATGTAATGTGTATGTTTCTTGTGATTTTAACCATTCCTTTACTTGCTTTTTATTCATTTTACCCTTCATGGCTTTTGATAATTTATCAATACTACCAAAACCAGCGGGATTAGATGGATCATAATAAATCCTGTTAATTTCTTCTAGTACGGAGTCCATTTTTCCCACTCAAGTCCTTTACGTATTTTAGTTGTAGACTTTTTATCTCTACTGCACGGTGTAGAAAACTCTTGAACTTCAATCTCAGAGGGTTTGTTCAGATCTTTTGCTTGAAGTTGGTTAATAAACTCACATCTCCTTGGATTTCCAATATAAGTAAGTGGTACTTTAATATCTTTTAATGCTTCAGCAAATCTAACCCACCCTACCGGATCACTTCTTTTTAGGGGTCTTAGTGAATCATTTATTAAATCAACAATATTACTTCCAGGAATTTTTTCACTATCAATTATGACTGTACCTTCGTTATCCCAATGTATTTTACTTTTACTTGTTTCAACTAAGTTTAATAATAACTGCCCTTTTTTATGATAAGTTTTTGGTATTAAACTGAGTATTTGAGCTGGTGTGTAAAGTGGATTTTCATCATTTTCTTTACTTTTAATGGATCGATTCTCCTCCAGCAAAGATTCAATATCAACTGAAGTTTTTAGATCTCTATCTTTATTTTTAAAACCAATTTTTGACTCATTTGAATCTTCATTAGATGTATCAGAATAAATTGGTAATTTGAGTGGTTGACGATCCTCTTCGGTAAAATGAAGGTATCTTTGCAGTGTTTGTAAATATAATATCCATTTCTTTCGGTCTTCCGTCTTACTATTCATAATATTTTGCATTTCAATATCTAATCGAGATAAATTACTATTAACCTTATTTTCTTGTTTTAATTTTTCAATCAATCCAGGTTCGATAAGTATCATTTTCTTTGCATTTTCCATGTTAACTGGCTAGTCCACTCACTAATCCACTCAATATTGCACCTAATATTGTTGGTAAGAAAGCCCCTCCTTTTTGTATAATTATATTTTTTCTTAGTTTATGTTTACACTTACGTACTAGTTTACGGAGTATGTTTTTATGTTTATTCAATTTTTGTTTATCCTGATCTTTAAGAGGTACTTTTCCTTGTAAAACGTTATGAATACACTCACAAATACAGTTAATTTCTTCTTCATCACACGTTTTAAGTAATGCTCTTTGATATTTTGGTTTAAGCGTATGCAAAGCGGTTAGCAAATGTTTATACGTTGTGAGTCGACGATGCATTATTTAGCAATGATTTCAATTGTTTGTTTCTTGGTGTATTTAAACTCTTTTGTGGGGACGTAGACTGTACAGAAACCATTAAATGGAAAGACATTTGTCTTGATACGACAAAAATCATTGGTATTCTGTTTTAAATCTACCATTAAATATCCATGTGCCTCTAGAGTTGCATCCCTGTAGGCATTTTCAATGAATTTTGGGTTATCTGGTGATACTTGTCTTGCTAAATATCTTATTTGAGTTTTATCTCGAGGGTTTTTAAAATATATTATATAACTTGAGTTTAAAGATATGTCTCTTTGTCCTTTACCCTGATGAAATAAATTTTGTGTTAGATAAAATACACTAAGATTCCTGTGATGACTACCTTTTGTAAATATATCCACAATTCTTCCATCGGACTCTCTCATTAGATCATCAATAATAACAAGATGTGGGTTTTCACCATCAAACATATTAAGATTTGGAATTCCTTGATGATAGTTAACATTTGGTAAATTATATAATGGTTGCATTTCATCAAAGCACCATGTGATCTGATTAAAATCACAATTACATATTTCTGTAACTGATTTTATGAAATTTGTTACAAAATTTGACTTCCCACACCCACTTGGTCCTGCCACAATAGCAGTGAACGGATGGATAAAGTGAAACATAACACACGTCTAAAGTTCAAAGGGGTGAAATAAAAAATGAAAGTGTTGGTGTAAACAATTAATATATATTCCAAAAATTATATAAAACAGAATTATCTGTATACTATTTCTAACACAATTAGTACATCATAATTTTACAATTAACTCAACCTCAAATAAATAGAAACAACAATTAGTACATCATAATTTTACAATTAACTCAACCTCAAATAAATAGAAACAACAATTAACTTAAATTATTTACAATAAAACAATGTTTAAATATGTAATAAACTACGTCATATTATAGTATTATCATAATTTTACAATCAATATAAATTTTTCTTAAACGCAGACATAAAAGTAAAAATCAACACTTAACGCAGTTTATAATGACCCCAAGCTAATGTTTCAATATTATTATCTAAAATATGTCTCTTTGTGTCATTATATGATAAACCTATCTTATTTAATTTTTGTGTGAAAATTGTGTGTTTAATTGATTTAAATCTAAGCATACTATAATATTGCACTTTTTTATTAAATAGAGAAGACTTATAACTATTCATTGTCATCTTTTTAGTGATACATTTATTTACCCCTTTTGCCTTGGCTATAGTCTTATTCTCTAAGTTAAAAGCGTACATTTTGGATCGTAAACCCACAAATTCTTTCATGATTTTACCATTATTTTCATCTTTAAAAAAACCTAATTTCTTTTTATTTAATTTTGGATATTCAAAAATATTATTTGTATCATAATCTGAGGTATCAAAGTATGATGAAAGGTCAGGTTTTATATCAGTGTAAAAATCATTTGTAAATATATGATATATTAAGCTATCCGTATCTGTATACAATAATTTGATTTTACTAAACTTTTTAATCATATAGTTATAATGAAAATCATACATTAATGTTTTTGAAATATCTAAAA